ATCCACCAAAGATGATCTAGGAAGGCGACAAGCAAGGAACCCAGATTCTACCTTCCGAGCCCACCGAAATAACCACGCATCGCCAAGTACCGCTCCCGTACCCGCGAGCCACCTGCAATCTCTCGCCTTCCCATGTGCCGAGCGACCCCAATCTTAATTATTTTTCTTCCCCCCACCCCCATCTGCAAACCGTCTAAATTTCATCAATTTGCTGCTGCGATGCCATCCAGGCCAACCCTTCCAGTCTACACTATCCGTACGGATACCCGAATCGCGAATCCTCGTCTCCGTTCCAATTCGTATCGCAGTGCGGCTCCCTATCGGGTCATTCTGAATTAGACTGCTCATGGGCCATAGCATCATAGCAACCCTTCCCAAGAACCGGCCGAACGCGGTCCATGTTCGGATAGTGACAGATTGACCGTCGAGGCTCTGATGCTCTCAGGGTCAAACGTGCCGTTGGCTCGATACGGATACAGCAGTCAATGACATGGCGACTTGGCCCGTGGATTCTCTCCATTTGGTGGATGGTATTGCACGGCTACGACAACTCTACTCGCTACTCAATCTATATACCACGCTGCTGATCATCGCCGATTCGCCGCAGTCCCAGGCCAGCCGTGTCCGACTTCGGTCATCCGGGAGGAAATGATATGGGCATCTCTCACTCTCGGTCGACATCAAGAATCTCATGGCGTTCCTCGCGGAGTTGTTTCCGTGCAGCTACCTAGCTAGCCAGCGCACCCAGCTCGAAGGAAAGGAACCCATCCACAGAAACCGGATGGCCCTATCACCAACTCACGCCGAGTCGCCGCCTCTGCCATAAGACCCGTGACGCTGGTTCAGCCTGCATCGCCGTCGTCATCGGCCCTTCTGAACCCGCTCTACTGTACACTGTACCCTAGGCCACTTTGTTCCATCCGCTATGTACAGGGAAAACCAACACGAGCTGGATTACTTTGCCCTAAGGATGCAGCGTCTTTCCTGAGTCCTGACTTGGTTTTGCGTAGTTGCCACTGGAAACTTTGCATGCTTCATACGGTGTACCCGCTAATACACAAGCACAGCCTGTTCTGGTGCCACTGTTTCCTGTCGTCTGCCATCCGCCGCCTGCGCAGTATTACTCCGAATGAAACCCTCCGTCTGCCAGAAATCAAGATGCATACGACAGAAGAGTTGCTATTTTTTGCACCACAAGAAAAACGGGCCGCCTTACGCGTCGTCACTCCCATCCGGACAACCCAGTTTGCACTGTCGCCTCCACCGAAGTGGCCAAATAGCTGCGCACTTGGCCACACTTTCTCCTTTGGCAGCTGGTCCCAGAGGCTACAAACAGCTGGTGTCTTCAAAGCATCGTTACGCATTTGCCGTGAGCCGAGATATGGTTGCTTGCCGCGCTTCTTCCAGAAGGTCGCCGCCCTGGGGAGGCTTAGCAGATCTTCAGCAACCGCCCTTGTCGCTCCCAAGTACTACAGCCTATAGATATAATCCCTCCCAGCATCCTCAACGGTCACGGAGGCACCTGAAGGCTGGAGCACTAAGAAGTCAAAGAACCAATCCCATGTTCCCACCGCCTGAGATCGACGTCGACAAAAGGCGGGAGGCGCTGCCTTCAAGCCGATGTGCTCTCTGTCTGGATAACTGCTTCGGTACCGTGCGGTGCCTGCGACATAACGGTCCTAAAACGGACTGAAGGCTGGCTGAAAAGGGTTCGCCGTTCAATGGACTATTCCCCTGCCACAAATCATTTCTCGAGTCCACGCATCCATCCTAGGGACTTAGACACCCCCAACTGACAGCGACGCTTCCCGATTCAGGGATTGTGCCGGCGCCGTTTGATTCCTTTCTGCTTCGACGAAACATGACGCGGATCCTGCTGCGAACCGCGGCCGATCAGCATTTCTCTGACAACAGACACGCATTCTTTGTTCCCCTTTCAAGTCATGGTGGCATGCACGCATGGTGGTGAAGCTCAACCGTCCAGCCACCCATCCCCAAAACCACGGCGGGTGCTTGGAGCGGCAGCTGGCCCAGCCCATCAGACTTTCGGCTCGAGGCCGTGAACCTTAGCCAGTATACTTTCCAGCCTTCCACTGGAGGCCCCGACATGCGGGAAGCTCAGAGCCAAAAAAAAAAAAATCTAAAAAAAATTGGGCAAAAGTCAATCGCGCCAGCTCTACCCGGCCAGTCAACGCAAACATTTGGACTTGGCGATGAGCTTAATCGTCCAGAAATCGCAAATGTTTAGATGACGGCTGCACCAACGTACCGGTCCCAACCGCGTGCGAATCGTGCAACGGACACAGAGTACACCCCGAGGCCCAGAAAGAAGCAAAGAGAGAAAATCGGGGAGCATGAATAGACACAGTCGATCGACCAGCCCATTCCACCGCAACTGGAGAGCCCAATCAGTGGACCCGACACGGCCTGACGTATCTGTTACCCATCATTTCAGCGCCAGTTTTCGGTGGCCGTTTCCTTGGCGTGGGGATATCAGATGAAGAAGGGGTTTTGGGCAGTTGGAGGTTGGACTTTACAGAGACAAAAATAGGGGGCACTGAGTGTGTTCTGAATCGCCGGCAAAAGGCCGAAGCAAGCAACATGAAGACTTAACCTCTGACGAGGGCCCAGAAAGCATTGTTACCAAATGCCAAAAGGCGCTGGGAGCCTCGCACATCCCAGGCCGTCTCATCGTCGTGGAGTCGATGACGTCCTCAGCACAACCCTGCACATCAAATCCAGTCGTCAAGCTCATGCTCCACCAACCCATGGATTACCACGACTCACGAGTGCCACGCAGGCTGAAGATTCTGGAATTCAGCTCAGCTAACCCGGGGATGCAGAAGAAGCCCAGAGGGAGCAACTCCCGCGATGCGAACTTGCGGCTTCGACGAGACAAGCAAGGCCCAGACAACCGTCACGAATGTGATGCACCGCCTTGTTGGTTGCGAACTGGAATGTCGGAACCGAATTCAACATCAAATTCCTGGCGGAAGTAGCCTACCTCGAGGAATAAGGCACTGTATCCGTACATACAGAGCCAAGCTCACGTGCTAAAGCACCCGAGGGCCGGTCACGCACCCGTCCATCACCGCTTCTATTTTAGATCCAAGACAATCCGCACGAGGAACGTCGTCTGAACTGTGTCGAAAGTTACCTGATGAACCCCTGCGGATCACCCAACTGATCCGTTTCACATCGCTCGAGGATCGGCTTGCTCAATATGGCTGTTCCCTACAACAATATCGAGCCCTTTGACCCTCTTCCAACCAGTGGCAAGCACCGGACACCATTCAGTGCTGGCGACGGCTCCGGATTAATTGTCACTGATCTAATGGATGCTAAACCTCTAACCACGCGGGACCGCACGGGAGCCGGCCGGCAGTTGGACCGTGGGCCCCCTGGGCTACGCCGCACCAACGTCTGTCTATCACTCTATGGCCCGTCGGCTGCTATAGTGCAAGGGGCTATTTGGCGTATATCACGATCTGCTGTCTTTCCTCCGCTTATCTCAGTGGCTCGATCAAGGGCCGTCTACGGGCCGTAGCCTGTAGGCCCTATCCCGAATGGAGTTCTGTTGAAATCCTTTCTTGATCGTATGGTTGAGGTCCTCGGTGGCTCACAAGCGGTCAAAGATACGCCTTACGAAGTTTCAATCGATGGTGGACGTTCAAACTCGCTCATCCAACAACCATCATTCCACATTGATGTACTTATTAATTTGGATCTCAATCTCTTTGCTGACCCCCGCACTTGGCCCGCCCTGCATGATCTCCCGTGCTTACTCGCACTGCGATGGCATGGCGGCTCTCAACCTGAGGAGGATTGGGAACCAACCATTGCTTTTTTGCTTCCCTCGCCGGCCGCAGCAGCAGTTGTTTCTTTCCAATGAGACCATGTGTCCCTTGATTCGGGAAGGCCCTCCGAGTCAAACTAGGGCTAGCGTGCGGGATGCAGCCAGCCAGACATTGCTTGCAATCATGTCTGTGAAGCATCCGATGCATGTGTAGGTACGGAATACTTGAATGCAAAGATGAAGCCACATGGGCACGGTAGATTACTCGCCTCGAGACGATGGACGAGTTGGCGGAAGCCAGTCAAACCCCACACTTGACTACTTCAAGTTCCCCCTACGTCGACGTCAAATTGGCCGTTGCTATTCCGCCATGTTGTCTCTCACATGACATTTTCAACCTCTGTTTCAAAAACGAACGACAGCTGGAAACCCTGCGTTCGCCCTAAACCGTAAAGTCAGAGTCAAAAGTTGAAAAGGAAGAAGGCCCTGCTTGCCCTTCTTGCTTGCCATCTGCATTACTTGCCTCTCGCCCGGTCTACAAGCTGCCGCACTTTTCAAGTACAAAGGTAGTAGTTATAGACGGGGGCGCAAAGGCAAACAACATACACAAACGGTCCACAGATTTTAGCAGTAAGAGCAACTTCTTGTTCTACCCGAAGTCCTGCAGCGGCCCTCGCCGTCGGCCATGTCGTAGTTGCCCTTTTTATTTCTCTCTCCCTCCCTCCCGGGCGCTTATATGACTTCTATTCAGTGTGTGAATGTGTAGATACGTACGCGGTACGTGAAATCCATCCCGACGCTATGTTACGCCGGAGGATGTGTGGCCGGCAGGAGACGCGGGCGAGGTCAGGCAAGGTCAGGCGAGGTATCTCTTTGACAAGCGTGACAGGGTGTGACAGGGCGTGTATCGGAAGGGGGTGGTGTGCAGGTTAGTTTGGTTTGTCTTTCGGGTGGCTACGTGGCTTTTTTTTCCATTTTGTTTCTGTGTTCGAGGATGGGAAGATTGACGACTTGTGGGAATCTTTCTCTTCTGTTTCTTAACTCTCTTCCTTCGCACTCTGGAGTTTCTCCAACCAGCCGCGCAACGCGAATGGTGTTCTGTTCAGAGGCGGGGAAGACATTGACATAGAATCCAGGTAAAGTCACAGTGTAATATAACTAGCCGGCCACGTTACTGATGCAAACCCCAAGTGTACGAGGAGAACAATATTGATGGTTATCTTGATTTGTTTTCATCCTATGCTAAGCTTGAAGCATGCAAACCACTTAAAACGCCCACGGGGATATCTCTCTGGCACTTTGCAAAAACTCTTCTTTCCTTGTGCAAACCCGAAACCATACACATCACTTTCACTCTTCTCTTTTTACTGGTAATGACCCTTGTGATCACCGACGCCAGGCCTTGCCACACCGTCATCCACGTAGCCTGGGAGCTGCTCCTCGCGGCTTAGCCCGCCCGAGGCGACGGGGCCACCCTGGCCGGGCGGGTGCGAGCCCAGCGGGCCGCCGGCATCCGAGTGAACGTACTGCTGCTGTCCGCCATAAGCCGGGATGCCGGTCCCTTCGGGCTTGCCGCCGCCGTAGTGGGGCTGCTGCTGACCCTGCTGCTGGGGAGGAGGGATCGACCCGGGCGGGGCCTGCTGGCCGGGCGTCGCCTGGGGGAGATGGACCTCGGGCAGAGCCTGCTGCTGCTCTGCGGTACGGAGGGCCTCGTAGAGGGGGTGCGCGCCGGCGGGCCACATGCCGTTGGGGCCCTGGGGCGGCACTTGGCCCTTGACGATTTGGTCCACGGTGACCTTTTGTCCGTAGAATGCAGCGTTGGCGTCCTTACGCTCCGTGACGACGGTGCCATCTACCTGGATGCCGGCGTAGAACCCGCGGGACTTGACGTAGGAGAAGACGGGCTTGAGGGACGTGCTGCTGCTCCTGCGCTTCTTGTCCTTGTCGTCGGCCTTGAGCTTGCCGTCGTCGGTGGGCTTGACGTCCGTGACGTGGTCATTGGCATTCTTGTCCTGGACCTCGGGATTCTTGCCGCCAAAGGAGGCGCCAACGTCCATGACGCCTCCGGCGCCGTAGGGCCCAGCCACGACGGCCACGTCTGGGCCGAGACTGACGCGCGTGGACATGAAGGCGGCGAGGGCGGCGGGGCTGTTGATGACGCAGACGCAGTCGTAAATGTCGACGCCAATCATGAAGCCGGCGCCGAGGGCGTGGACCTGAATGCCGGAGGGCGGGGACCAGGAGCCATCGGCGAGGCGGGCGATGAGGATGCCGGAGCCAGTGGCGCCGGAGAACTGGAAGCCTACGCGGGCGGTGGTGAAGATTGCGAGGCCGACGGCCTTGTTGATTACCTTTGAGGGAATCTTGACGATGGCCTTGGAGTCCTTGCGGACCTTTTCCTTGTTGGGCGTCGTGGGGCGTGATCCGGTGGCTTCGGCGTGCTTGCCGGGGTCGAGGTGCTCGCCCGTTTGTGTCTGTGGGGGTACGTCGGATGTGATTCCCTCCTCTGTGAGATTTTGTGTTAGCTATGTGCTCCATGATGGTATCGCGGGTCGAGGGGGTATAGTTTTGAGGGGCACTTACTGCAGAAGCTCTTGAGGATCTTGGCCGCCTTATCGCACTCTCTATCCATGGTGGTGGGCAGGAAGCTCTGGGAGCCCATCTTGTTGGCCAGGGCGTTGATGGGCACGGCGGCCTTCATGCCCATCTGGGAGAGGCGCTCGCCCCATCCGCGCTTCTCCTTGTGGTTGGGATCGGTAGCGGGCGCAATGTAGGCGGCGTGGGCGGCGGCCGGGTCGGTGTAAGGACCGCCCTGGGCGTGGCCCGGTGCTGCGGAGCCCGGAGGTCCTTCGAATTGTTGCTGCTGTGAGTAGTGGTGTCCGGCGCCGTGCTCGGCGGGGTTGTAGGGAGCTTGCTGGCCGGGTGTCTGTGCGTATGACTGCTGCTGGGGGACGAAGCTGCCGCCGGCGTACTGCTGCTGCTGGGGAGCGTGTGTGTATTGGGGCTGGCCGGCGGGAGGAGGGCCCGGAGGCGGAGGAGGGAAGTGTTGCTGCTCGTGGCTAGGGCCGGCAGCGCTCTTCTGGTCCGGGTTGTACTGCTGCTGTTCATGGCCAGAGGTGTACTGAGGAGGCTGCTGTTGGTTGTTGTCGCCGGTGGGAGGGGGAGGGTAGAGCTGCTGCTCCGGTTGAATAGGAGGCTTCTCCGGGTTGGTGCCAGACATTATTACTGTAATTGTGTCTTCTGTCAATGTCTAGTGGGGTTCAGGTTGGTAGAATTAATGATATCGTAGCAACGATGCAAGCAAGGCAATGCTAAGATGTGTAGCTCTTGAGGGCTGGGTATCTTGAGATGGTAGTATGAAGGAGAAAAGTCAGCCGATGGCAAATGGGTTGCTGTGCGTTTGATTCTTTTTGTAGGTTGGGTGTTTGATGGAGCTCTACGGCAAGACCGAAGGAAGTTTAATGGAATCTGCTGGGCACAATGTGGCGTATACTGTCGTCAACGTGGATATCGTAGGCGTGTGAGGCTGAGCTCTGGTAGCTTGTGGTCCAGAAAACGGGGTCAGGTAGATATTCTGCAGAGAGGCCTCTCTCAATGCAGACGGGGAGAGTCATGTCATCGTTTGCCAACCTGCCAACTCACACCAAGCAGCAGCTCATACCTTGTACCGCGTGGATGCCGTACGAGAGGGGAAACTTGGAGGGGCACCGGGGAACCGGGAAACGTCATGGTGTGGCTGATGCGCAGGGATAGCGGGAGCCGAAGGGACCGCTGGCTGCGGCTGCGGCAAAGGCGTGTGTGGCTGCGCAGTTGGCAAACGCAGAGCGATGGTGCCAGCTGCTTACCAAAGATCCTTTTGATCCTATTACCTAAGTCAACTTACCTAAGGCATATGTCCCTAGTTCTCATACGGCGTATTAGCTAAGCAGTGCTAGGGCATGAGGGAAGTCTCCATCTTTCCCTCCCCCACCTCTTTTTTCCCCAACGACCCAACCTTATTCCCCAGCGGATGTGGGTACGGACGGAATACACCATTGCCACGATTGCCAAGCTGTCACCTCCATCAGCTTTGAATTTGTTTGACAGCTTCGCATTCGCGATGACGGCCAAAGTTACACTTCTTGCGACCTCTGACGCATAGACTTGCCGCCGCAACGGGAGAGGCTATGTATGCACAGAAGAGAGCTGGCTATCGCTCTGGTCCGAATCCAACCAGAAAGAAACGGGGGGGACGAGTGACTAAATAAGCAGTTGAGTGTGTGTGTCCGGACCTCGACGGACTTTGCCTCTTCGGCGAAAAAGATTCACCCACCAGTGGGATGGGATTGATTAGTCGGGAATCAACCCTCGGTGATCGGACCCCGAACCACCATGGCTATTCTTTTTCCCGTCTTCGCTATGGCTTTCCGTTGCAACATTGCGACGGTCGAGAAGCTTCCAAGACGAAGTTTATTAGACGACATGCTCGGTTTAATGACATTTCGTTGCGTTTCCAGGTCGCACCACCGGTTAATTAATCAGGCTGCTATCAACCAGCCAGATGCGAAATGTGGTTGACTGGTCTCGGACCGGACCTCGCCCAGACTCAGAGTGGGAATCCCGGACGTCTCCCAACCTGTCCGTCGACCTGCGAACTAGAAACACGAACACAGGCACAGAGGGCAACCTGACACCGAGTTCCGTCTTACCAACGACCGGGCTATTGACGCGAAAATAAGAAAGGGCTGACAATCAGCGACCAGAGAGTGATCCCGACGCCCTCCAACTCCGAATCACGCGCGTCAAACCCCCAATTGCAGTCATACTTTTGGGGAGAGACAGACCAGAGACGCCCTGCCCTGCCTCGTCTCATCCTTTGTTTGTCTTCGCTGCCGGTATCTGATCTTCGGCGCTCGCTGCAGCTGCTTGACCATACCGCTGGGTCTGATAGCGTTGCTTGTCGTCCTTTTCCTTTCGTTTTAATCCAAAAGTTTGATCGAGCTTGCGAAACAAAACACAGAGACGAACCTCTATTGTGGTAAAGCTCACGAGAATCCGCATCAAACTGACAAGACGGCCTTTTAGGGTTTCCCGCAGAGAGAGAGAAATCCGTTGGGACTACTTATCCACTTCCCGGCGGAGTTGTCATCCACACACACCGAGACGATCCCGCCCCACGATCTTCCTGTCCTTTTTTTGAGGGCGGCCCTGTCTGGACTCTCTGTACGACAGACTTCTCCCCCCGGCTACCCGGGGGCGGATATTTGACTCGCGCCAACGAGCCTTACTATCGACCAAAAAGGGACAAGCCTTGCTCGATCTTCAAGTCCATTCCCCGTATTGTCTGCTCATTTCGGGGTCAGTAGACTGTTAGCAATCAATCAAGCAAGTGAAGAGAGTCGGCGCCAGTGCCTGTGTGTCGGAGCTCCGGCCGGTGAGCGACGGACAAAGGAATCCATCGCCCCACATTGGCGCTCTGTTTGCTGCCCTTGCGCAAAAGGTGGGCGGGCACGCGGGCAAGCGTCCAGGAGAAAGTGAGAGAGTCGAGAGCCGTGAACGAGCGCAAGCGCAAGGTAGAGCTGGCCAACGCTCCCTTCTTCCCTCCACCTGTCTCTGATTAGAGTAGACGAGTGACCTGCCTTTTATCATTCTCCTCAACTCCTCGTCTTCTCTCTTCCCTCCTACTCTCGCGTTTATCTTCGCCCTTCGCCCTCTTCTCAAGCACCCGAATCTTCATTCTTCGGTCCCGAACTTCAAACAACTTGGCTCTTGTCTTTGCCTTGCAGCACTGAGACTTCGTCAAAGGAATTATACTACTGCTGCTACTACTACTCGCATACACATACACGCCTTCAGCGCCAAACAAGCGGCCTTTACAGACACAATGCCAAGCGCAACATCGCCGCCGCCGGGTCCTGACCCCACCCTCCACCTTCCGCGTATTCTCTGCCTCCACGGCGGCGGCGTCAACGCCTCCGTCTTCAAGGTCCAGTGCCGCGCCCTCATCTCCCGTCTTAAGAACAGCTTCCGTCTTGTCTTCGTGGATGGACCTTTCATGTGCGCCCCGCACCACGACATCGTCTCCGTCTACGGCGACTATGGCCCTTTCCGCCGCTGGCTGCGTTGGCTTCCCGAGCACCAGGCCGTAGACGCCGAGACGGCGTCCGCCGAGATCCACTTCCAACTGCGTATGGCAATGGACGACGACGACGCTATCGGCGCGACGGGGGAGTGGGTGGGGTTACTGGGATTCAGCCAGGGTGCCAAAATCAGTGCCAGCTTGATGTACACACAACAACAGCTGAAGAAGAAGTACGGCAAGCGCATCACGTCGGCGGGCGGCTCTGCAGACTGGAAGTTTGGCGTGCTGCTTGCGGGTAGGGCACCGTTAATCGTGCTTGACGATAGGTTAGAGGTGCCGCAGGGTGTTGGCGACGCGGCCGAGGCGAGCGTCGAGTTCCACGACTGGCCGACAGGTTCTGGGACGGATCATGTCTTGAAGCTGCCGACAATTCACGTCCATGGCATGAAGGATGCCGGATTAGACCATCACCGGGTGCTGTTGAAGCAGTACTGCCAGCCGGGGACGACGCGGTTGGTCGAGTGGGATGGAGCTCATCGCGTACCCATCAAGACGTGGGACGTTGAGGCGGTTGCGACACAGATCCTCGATCTTGGGAGAGATCTGGGGATCGTGACGGAGGACATTGTGGCATAGACTTTGCGTGAGCTGCATAGCATATTGGCGAGATTGTTCGAGTACCCATTTACTTTTGTTTCCACATTTTCGTTGGATATTTTCATGAAAGCATATATAGACCTTTCAATACCAGAACCTGTAATTTTCCGTCTTCAATCATATCTTACCTCCTACTTGACCATGACTAGCCATCATGCTTTCTGCATTCAGTCACGCGAAGTATACACGCCCGTCGACACTGCGTGGTACCCCTTCTTGCCAACCTCGTGCGTCAGCTCACTCCTCCAATCCTCCCCCCTCGCAAGCCTCTCAACAACTTTTTCCATGGTCCACTGAGGCCTCCATCCGAGCTCCCTGACGGCCTTGGAAGAATCGTACACCCGGTCCAGCCTGTCGAGGAACCTCCATCCGAGCTTCTCAAACACGGCCTTGCACCCGGGCACGACCTCCGCGAGGACGGCGCCCGCGTCCGAGTCCAAGCGGCGTAGAAGCGTCGAGCGGGCTGCAGCGGCGGCCTCATTCTCGTCCAGAGTAGTCGCGGTGGTAACAAAAGGCGGCGGCGCGGAAATTATATACTTTCCGAACCCAATCCCCTCCGCCCTCTCCATTCCGCACACCACGGCCGAGACGACGTCGGCGATGTCGACTCTGCGGTAGGCCAGCTCGCACACTTTTAAGTTTGCGTCATCGGGCATGGCGGCGCGGCGGTCCTCGTCGTCGTCTGGTTCCGGGAAGAAGCGGGATGTGCGGAGGACGAGGACAGGGAGGGATGTTTGGTGGTGAACTAAGCTGCAGAGGTCCTCTGCGGCGCATTTGGTTACGCCGTAGATGTTTTTGGGGAGGGGCGTGACGGATTCGGTGATCCAGGCAGCGGGTTGGCCTTTTGCTGGGGCGAGGGCGCGGCCGAAGGTTGAGGTTGTTGAGATGAAGAGGAAGGATTTGATGCGTGACTGGAACTGTAACTGAGACTGGTGGCTTGTGGTTTTGTCGAGGCAGGCGGCGGCGGCTTCTAGGAGGACAAGGGTGCCGGTGATGTTTGTGTCGATAAAGGCTGATTTCGGATGGGAGTCGACGTGGGGTTTGTGGAGGGTTGCCGCGTGCACGATGTGTGTTATGGAACGGTTGTTTGCGAGGAGGGAGGCGATGAGGGCGCGGTCTGTGATGGAGCCGACTGTTGTTGTCGTCGGGGAGGGGAGGATGTCGATGCCGTGGGGGACGTGGCCAAGGGATGGGAGGGAGAGCATCAGGGCTGCGCCGAGGTGGCCGGCAGAGCCTGTTACGAGGACGGTGTAGGGTGAGGTCATCTTTGAAGGGTGATGAGGGACTGAAGCTGGATCTAGGCTTGCCGAGTTATGGGTTGATGATATCGAGGTGGGCGGGTGAGGTTTTGTCGATTTGGTGGATGAAGGTATTTAGAGTCTCGGTGTTATTCGTAATGGGTGTGAGTCATTGGTCCCTTCTTGCTACTACGCCAAGCGAAGGGCGCACTAGCACTCGGGGATTGTTTTTGATTTGGCCATCCGAGACCGACCCTTGGGCAAATGGTTCCTGCAAAAACTGGTAGTTGATATCTGAATTATTTTTTTGAATGTTCGCCATGATATATGGACGTTGCAGGTGTGACGGTACCAAGTCAGTTGTTGACTAACTCAAAGTCGTTCTGACGTTATTTTCGAAGCGCAGCATCAACACCATCGACTGCATTATAATGACGCTGCAGCAGAAGTCTTTCAATCTCTCTTTTGTGAATCATTGAACATCAGTGCGGAATGTTTCGTTGACGAGACGGAAAGTCTCTGAGCTGATGGAAAACGTGGTTTGGCAAGTAGGTGACAAGATAGTCATTGTGCTGGCGCATAGTAAATAACCTGCTCCCCTACTACGACTTTTCCATTTTGGTCCCCTCATGATTACTTTTCAATGTGTTACTGTTATGACTTCTCTTTCAGTCTAGCTCATTTTTTATCCCTTGGATGATGAACTTGATGATAGCATGGAAATTACTAATAACTCGGGACATGTGAGCGGTAGATCATCTCGTCAGCCACTCGCGTTGAGACTCAGATAAAGGCTATTTATGGCTACCAGTCTCCAAAATCAACAGGCCACCAGGGAAACATATACTGAAACAAGGAACTGGTTCACAAACACCTTTACGAGACCGTGGGGATTCATCACAAGGCCGCATCCTCCAAATCACCCGCCTCCAGCCGACGAACCTTCATCTTTAAACCCCCCTTGGGCCTCAGAACAGGACTAGGATTAACAAGCTCAATATCTTTGGGATCCACCGCGGCCTCAAACTTGAAATTGCTCAAAATCTCCATGAAAAGCACCTTGATTTCAATCAGCGCGAATCCCTTTCCGATACACTGCCTCGGGCCAGCCAAGAACGTCGCGAATGCGAGGGGGCTGCTCGCCGCCTCCCCCGTGAGACGGTCCCATCGGTCAGGATCAAACACGTCCGCGTCGTCGCCCCATATGCGTTTGTTCCTGGTGATGACGGCAGGGAACATGTAGACGGGTGTGCCCTTGGGAACAAAAGTGCCCGCGAGGGTGATGTCCTCGAGCGGTTCGCGGGCAGCGCAGACGCCGGGGGCGTAGAAGCGGAGGATTTCGCGGGTGAGGTTGTCGATGAAGGGGAGGCCTTGCTCGAGGTCGAGGTAGTCCGGATTCAGAGTTTTCTTGAGAAGGGCTAGGACCTCGGCTCTAGCCCGGGCTTGAATGTGCGGATAGAGCGTAAAGATGTGCGTTCCCCAGGTGAGCGTCGTGGCGGAGGTCTCGTGGCCTGCGACTATCATGTTGAGGCAATTTTCGAGGATTTCGTCTTCGGACCAGGGTTTGCCGATGGATCTCGACTCGAGAATCATGTGCGTCAGGAGATCGGGTTTTTCTTGGACCTTTTCGGCACCGCCGACCTCGTCGATCTCTGCGAAGCGTTCGCGGATGAATTCTCGCATCCGCGTGCGGACGCCTTGGTTGCAGGCGTTGTAGATCTTGTTCTCTTCAAAGGGGAGCGAGCGAACTCCCGGGAGATATGCGTTCATGACCATGAGAACGCCACCAAAGAGGGTCGGGTCGAACATGCGGTGGTAGGCTTGGTGGAAGAAGGAGTGTGTTAGGGTTGCGTTGAGGTCGACGCCGAGAGTCCACCATGCTATGATGTCAATCGTGACGCGGCCGAAGGCTTGAGACACTACACGCATAGACCATGAGATCAGCAACGGTTTGTTGAGGCGAGAATGATACTATTAGATCGAGTTGATCGAGGCTGACTTACTGTCTACGATACCCTGTTGAGACTTGATCTCATCATCGAAGAGTTGGGCGAGCTGGTCCCCCTTGCTCCTGAAGACTGGGATCGCCTTTTTGATTTTGGCGAGAGAGAATGAGGCTACAATGGTATTCATGAGTATTTATGAAGATTGCGAGGGAACCTGCTGCATGAATGCTTGGGAAAAGCTTACGCGACAACAACTTTCTCTGAGCCTTGTGCGACTCTCCCTCAGCAAACGCTACTCCTACTCCCGTGACTTGTATAATGATGCGGCTGTTTGCCTGCGCCTTGACAAAAGAGTAGCTCTTTGTCTGAAAGACCACTTTAAAGACGTCGAGATTATTGATCAGGAGGCAGTCCTGGTTGCCGAAGCCGGTGAACTTGATGAGCGGCTCATCTGGGAATTGGCGTGTCCATGAGAGATAAGGCTCAATGGGGTTTCCTGACCTGGCCTGGTTTACGAGTTCGCCGAGTAAGAAGTGGTGGTCCTGTTGTGTATGTTAGAGAATGTTCCGTCTCTGTGAATTGGGTGATTTTCCTTGCCTTTGGTCCTGGGAGATGTCTGAGGGGGGAGAAAAAGTAGGGGTAAAGAAAGACGTAATACAGCGGCTTGAGAAAGTGCCGCGCCACGAGCAGAATGATCAGATAACGGGCGGCAGTCTGCAAAGAGGAGTCGCGTAGGGTCGTCAGCAACGATAAACCGCCTAATGCTAGTAGTTCATGGTGCCAAGTGAGCTTCAAAGACTTCATCGTGACTCTGAAAGGATGGCTGGTGGTAGTCAGCTTGGGTCGATCAGTGATGAGGGGTGGGATAGTTGGGTATTTTATGTGTGAAACCGTGACAAAGATAGGACCAGAGAGAGAAAAAAGCAGAGGTATTCTCCGTGGACTGTGGGTCGTATAGAGAAAGATACCCTGTCCCTTTGCCGCAGCTGCTTTCGGTGGCTATGTTGGTTCCAACGTACAGTTACACCACAATGGCACCTAACAGAGAGCGATTTCCCCCACACTGTTTGCGATGCTACTTAATGCCACCTCGTGGCTGCAATAGCCACAAACATGCCTTGCCAATGAGTTCTCTTGGTCTTGAAACATCTATTTTCTTGGACTAATTGTCTCTCAATCTTGCTGGAGATTACTGAGCATGATCGAGAGTTGTGGACGTGAAGTTGCGTCGTGATGGCGTGGCTGGGACGCCCGCTCACGCAACATCCCTGCTCGATTACTCCACCGTGTACGAAATGGGAATATACTTGATTCGCGGGATTTATCTTCAGCGGGACTGCTCAATTCATTCAGCAGCGAGAGTGTGGGGGCCAATGAAGCTGCAGCAGTCTGTCAGCAAGCAGCTCACGATGTGGGCTGTTTGTTTTTTCGCAGGAGAGCATTTATTTTACAGCCTTTACCCGCAGTGAAACAAAGTCAGTGGATGACAAGATGATCTGCTGTTCAACTTGTCTTGAATTTGGTCTCAAAACTGTTGTGAACCTGGTGATCTCCAGTGTTATTCTTTACCCCTCATGCCCATATCACTAGTTGTGTAATTTCTCAAAAACCCCGCAATGAAGATGATGGTAATCAAGGTGCTAGTGATAACAAAAGGCGCTACTCATATGCCGATCAACACATTTGTTTGGCTAGCCACTTATAAGGCTGTTGATAGGTACAAATCGATAAGGGGGGCTCGTCTAGCTTGCATCATTTGACGAGGATTGAGTTGCCAATGCTGGCCTTGACCTTCAACTCTCCATTGTGCGGCACAGCTTTCGGAGATCAAGGTAGGCAGCTGCCCCCATGCGTGGCAAGGCTCTTGAGATGACCTTGTCATCAATGCCATCGGATCTGTCTCTTCATGCAGGGCGGGAGGGCTCGAACTTGGGGGCTGAATCAAATGCCGGGGCCATTTTTAACTACATGCATCTTGTTAAGTGATCGTTTGTATGTCAATGGATGAATTCATTATTGAACAAAATATGTTTTATTTAGGCAGTAGTTGCGTTCAGCAATGTTCATGTGGCGGAAGACCATTAGCTGTCGTCAGTCTATCTGTGTATTTCCTTTTGACAAATTCCAGCAATCGGTCCACGTCCTTTGCGGTCGTCATGAACCCAAACGAGATCCGCACTGCACCTACGGGTGCTAAAAGCCTGATATAGTCGTCCAGAGAGTCGCTCTGGATAGCAGTGAGCGGTAATAAAGCCCTTTTGTCCAGACCAAAGGCAGCTTCGCCAGCACCAGGGTTACAGAAACAGCCCGTTCGTAATGATATGTTTTCGACAGAGGCTTCTTTGGCAACCAGTCTTTCGTCAACGACCCTTCCACCTATGTCCAGGAAGTTGAAGCAGATCGTTCCACCCCTCAACTTCATATCCGTCGGGCCATATATCCTGACCATGGGCGACCCGTCACTGTGTTCGAGATTCCGTAAACGATCGAGGCACCAGCCGGTAAGGCACCTGACCCTAGTATCGATTAACGGCATGCCGATGCCCTCCAACCAGTCCAGCCCAACAACAACATCTGGTATCGACAAGAAGTTGACCGTCCCATCTTCGAAGGCAGCCTCATCCGGCGCCATGACATGCCACGGAATCCCAACCGATGCCGCTGTGATGGTTCCACCCGAAAACCACGGCCTTGAGGCTGCGAGCCTTGCCAGGGCATCGCGTCGAACAATCAAACACCCGACGCCGGTCGGGTACCCAAACAGCTTGTACCAGCTCGCAATGACGAATTCCGGTTGAACGCCAGATGATGCGGACAGATCGAGCCTGGAGGTCGGCAGGTAGGCCGCCGCATCGAGGAGCACGTCATACCCCTGCTTCTGCGCAACGCTGATCCACGACAACGGATGACGGACGCCGCTGAAGTTGCTTTGGGCAGGGTACGCAAATAGACCTCTCTTTTTGGATTTTTGGTCGTCCTTGTTGCTGCGTGGGGCAGCTAGTTTTGCAGCTGCAGCTGCAGCTGAGCCGAATAAGCCATCTCTGCGAGGGTTTAGTGCTGACATGAGGTCAGACGGGTCTATCCTCAGCTCCGGGGCGCGGGCTGGGACGTAAGTGGTTCGTGTATTTCTTCGGCGTGCAAATTCTCGGAGACCGTTGACAGAGTTGTGGTTGTCGGATGTGAGGACCAGTCTGGTTCGCCTCTTGAAGGGATATGATTCTGCAACGAGTCTCGCGGCGCCTGTTGCGTTTGGGGTAAATATCGCCGTGTACTCTTCCGGAGAGGCATTGAGGTAGGAGAGGACGCGGGCTCTTGTCTGCTCGACTAGATGAGTGGCGGATTGACTTGTCGGGTTGATGGAATGCGGGTTGCCGCAGAGGGTTTGCTGAAGTCGAGTCTCGTGGGCTCGAATTTGCGATCTCGCGGCAAGTCCTGCGCCTGTGAAGTCGAGGTAGACGTGGTCTTGCTCGTCGAGGTAGCCATACTCGGTGGCGCGCAGATCATCTAATCGCGAAGTCGATACATATTCGGGGTGGCTGTCGAGAATATGTTCCATCCTGCCCACCTCCAATATTCCAATGTCGTAATGTTTGTGTTGGGGTCGAGCCCAGTCTCGATTGGGCCGGATGAGTATGGTACACGAGTGAAAGAGAAATTGGTAGGAAGAGGAAAAAGCAGGGCTGGTCTGGCTGAAGATGTTTGTGAATACTGCAGGTACGGGGTGAAGCCGGAGCAGATATTCCTGTATATACTTTAGGCAGACCCCTACTTATTTCACGGGAAGGAATGAAAAAAAGAGTGGCAGCACCTTCCAGATAAACCCATATCCGAATCCGATCGTCCGAACTATTTTGGACAACCATCTCTTTGGTATGCATCCTGGTCCTGATGAGAACCTTCCCCACTAGTACTCCTTCCAGGGTACCAGACATCAGACAGGGTTGCATCGGCCGTGGACCCGGGGGTTCGGCCAGCCCAAGCGGCTAGGACCGTCGTCGAGTTCCATGTCAGGAGGAGAGCGGCAGCACTTTGACGGTCCTCCCATTGTTTCGTTGCCTCTCTGGCGGTAATGATTGGTAATATGGAAGCAACGGGCAAGTACGGATACGCCGTGGGTACAAAGATGGACTGTGCTTAGGGATATATACACCATCGCTTTCCTTCTCCATTGTTTCGTTGGACAGAACCTTGCACTTGTCCTACGTGAATGTCTGCAGGTTCAGGCCACGCGGACGGCTACATTTCTTCGAGTCCCCATACCGCCCACTTGTTACGTGCGAAAGAGTGCAGAACGGCTGAATGGGTGACACAACGTGTTCCCCCTTCGCTTTTGCGAGACCTGGTGCCTGCGTGTTGGGGAATGCAGTGGCGCCAAACGTGGAATTTCTGACGAAATTGGGTCGTTGAGAGTGAGATGTCCCATACTAGATTCCCCATTGCTGACGGCCTGCCGGCCTAGGACCAACTAATTCCTAGGTGTACACCAGCCCGGTATCTCCGTGTGGGAAGAACTTATGTCAAGAATAGCGATGACTATAGGAAGAGCTCAAGAAGTGGCAGGTTCGAGATCGGTAATAAGATTCATGTTACGACGGGTGCCTGAACTTCGGAGATTCGATGGTCTTGAACACAACGCAAAGTGGTTCAAGTGGCACTTCGTACGATTCGGCCTATCACATTCATGCTCGATCGAGACCAAGGTGAGCTAGATCTGGTCACGATCATGCTGTCCGTTCCGACCCGCATGCGCGGCCCATGACGGTCGTTGGCGCCGCTCCAACATGGCGGAGACATCCCACTTGTCCGTTGGTAAACTTGGTATTGTTGTTCCCTGTCCGAACGTGCCAATTGTTCATGTGAATGCTGCTGGAACGTGCCGCGGCGGTGACCTTACGGCCGGTATTTCATGCTGTTGGAGACTCGCATTCGCACCTAAACCCCAAGAGTCTGGGCATGTGGCTCGTTTTAAGAGCCATATGTAGGCGAAGGACCGATGCACTCAATAACGTGTTGGTACCCAATGAGCGATTGGGCCTTCTTTTACACCAACATCAGCCTGCAGAACAAGTGCAAGGAACTATTTCATTGTTCCATAAAAACGAACAACATGTTTGTTTGCCTGTCACCGTGACCCTGTATGTTTGCCTACATCATCGCCAACTGTTTCTCGGACTCAAATAGTTGGTCCCCACCGTACTTTTATCGATCCACCACGCTTTCTCCACAAGTGGGTTTTACGGCTCTCTTTACTTGGAAGTACGAAAGATGGTGTGTAAGACGACTAACGAATATGTGCAGCGTCCATGTCGCCAGCTGAGAGGGAGGTGCATGGGCACCAGTGCAAGTTCGCTTGACACAGACAAATGATTGGGTGCGAATTGTCTCATTACAATATGCATGTTAATTGAGAGGAGACCAGGGGAAGAAAGCCGCTTAGCCCAACGTATTTGAATTGATTGGTGGCAAGGTACTACCAAGGCACAGCTTACATACTATGCTTCCTCCTAACTACTTTAGGAAGCTTTGCGAGAAGGAGACACTAGGCAGCTGTTTATTCATCAAATCAACAACATTTCTAGTGATGCTGATGATTATTCGTGCAGCGCCATGAATCATTGGTATCTGAAGAAAAGACACTATATAGCTTGGCAATGAGACGTTGCGAAAGCTGAATCCGCGTGCCAACTGGTAGAATCCCATGATCCCTCATCAAACCTTGGACTGTCTCCAATCAGACTTCGCCGTAAGACATAGTCAAAGTTCTAGGAAGAGGAAATGGATCCGGAAGACACCGCCGTCACGATCCACAATTTCTTTTTAGCTCCATAAGGTTGCGAAATATGCTCGAGCAGCGTTGGGTCCGTTGATCAGAACTTTCTTCAGCCGCAGGACTGGATTCAAAAACTCGCCTATGCTAAGGTGCGAGAAATTAGGGCTTGCGGCGCTAAAGCCTGAGACAGAATACACGCGCTGAGCGTCATTCACAACGGTCAGTATCATGGCGGGGTATTAGTGGTCTAGACTAAGATGAGTCCATGTGCTGAAGATAGATTGGGCATTGCCTTCTGACAAGGTAGCGGAGAATCACCCTATCTGCTTCAAGTGTTCCTTGGCGACCTGGAACATCCGCTCAGCAAAGACGATTGAAGGAGGAGAAACTCTGTTTCCAAATGTATTTGCTATTGACCACATACGACTCTAGAAACATCATTTGTCGGTGCAGTGAGCACGCTAGATTGTGCATAGTCTCATCTCAAATGACATCAAATAGATCCGAGAAATCGTGCCACGTAAGGATATTGTCAAAGGCCAATGGCTCAAGCGCAATAGCGTTCCACGGTTGTGATGGTCCTACGTTGTAGTTCTCTCCAGATGATATCTTTGGGGATGCTGCTGCTGCTGCTGCTGCTGCTGCCGGTATTGACTTTTCCTCCAGATTCTTGAGCTGTCGAAACGACTCTCTCGCCCGATCTCGCAACGGCCCCATGGCAGCCCACACGCAGCTCTTCTTTCCCCTTCGCTCATTCGCTTCTTCAAAGTCGGCGAGACAGGTAATGTAGTTATCCACAGCAAACCAAGCGCGTTCCGCCTCCCCTCGCTCAGGTGAATCGACGAGCGTGCGGAGCGTGAGGAACAGGGCGTATAATTGCGGATGCTGCTGATAGAACCAGGCGAAGCCAGGGAACAGTTTCCCCGACTGTAGTAGATACCCTTGCTCGAGCAATTCGATGGCAGTGGTAAAGAGTGAATGGGGCAGGTATCGATACCTGCACTCGTGCTCCATCGGCGCCGAGAGCCAAGCCTGAAGCATCAAGATGAATCGCGCTTTGGCTACAGATATCCGAAGCAAAGACTCCGCGGCACGGCATACGTCATTATTCTTTGGTGCAAACCGGAGCCAGCGGTGGGCCATGGACGACTCCGTCTGCTGGATCTTGGCCTCCCTCGTCTGCTCGTCCGCCGCGCCAACAGCGGAGACAGCATGGCGTAAGTTGCGGCAGAGGTCCAGGTTCATGATGGAGAAGGTCGTCTCGGTCCATTCGTCTCTTCCGGTAGGAACCTTTTCCATTTGGGGCCATAATTCGGTATCGTTCACATTCAGCGGTAAGCGGAAGATTTTGCCGCGATCGGCCATTGTGTTATTGAACCCGTGGCTTTCGGGCGCTGTGGCGTCGAGGGCGGTGAGATGCCACCAGAGACGACACCGCATTTCCGTTTCAAAGGGACCTAAGCCGAGACGGGAGCCGTCTTCGTGCACGCCGAGGGATTCTGCTATTCTGATGGCGAGGCCGGTGAGTGTCCAGATGGTTCGACCGGTGTCAAAGGTCCTCAACGCCGTCTGTCTGTGTGATCAGCCTTGTTACCGAGCGTTAGTGGAATAATATTGTCATACCAAGTATATTGCCAGAGCTTTCAACCCCTGAACGTTAGGATAGAGTAGAAATTGAGCTCTCGTGAATGCGCCGTCTATCTCCCGCATGAAGTGGCGCAGAAGAATCAGCCTTTCTACACCTAGCTGCGTTGCGACCTCGGTGCCGGACATACTGGTTGTTGCCGCAAAGGTAGCAGCATAAAGAAGAGCCAGTGTCATGTTGTCCGCTCCTTGAGGTTTGGCTGCCACGCCGAGCATAACTGGTTGGATCGTGGGTACGTGGAGTATCTTCATCAATGGATCAACGTTTTGTAGGTAGATGATCCATAGCCTGGTAAGAATGTGAGGAGCTATTGAGATGATCTCCGGATCTGATCCAAAGACGTCGGTGGCTGCTATGCCATAATGGGGAGATATATGGTGAGTCGTTGCGTTGGTCACAGGATCTCTTGTCTTGGTGCCGGCGATGGGCCGCTGTCTAGGCGGGTCCTAGGAAATATCAGCATGTGGTTTTCGGACTAGAATTTGCTCCAAATATCACCCCGAGGAACAACCCAACGAAGACCGAGTCATCTACAAAATTTCCTCTCTCTCCATCTCCGACGAGTACTTCTTGTGATGGCAGGACTGGCGGGACCGGAACGGGGTCCGTCGCATGTTGACTCTGCTCACCCCAGTCTCTCACTGGGGCTCCATTGCGAAGAGTGGAAACAAGATAGGACAATAGCCCTTCAACTCGGGCAAGTCTATCAAGAACGTCTTGGTTCGTTGGCTGTATCGTCTGCCCCGTTGGAAGATGAGATGATGGTCCGCCAGTAGCTTGACGATCTGCAGTGCCTTCACAAGACGGCGCTTCATTCGAGTCGGAAGGCGAAGAAGATTTGACCGATCGTGCATTGACAGGTGCTCTCCTCGTTCTGGCCTCGAAAACACACGAGAGCTCTAAACGGGTGCACTGCGAGCAAGGGAGCCTCCGGTTGCAGCGGACTTTGCGGTCTCGGCAGGGCTTGCAGGAAGGACGGTCTCGGAGTCCTTGCCGTCTTTGGTCGCCCATCGCGGAAAGCTCCGAAAATGGTGAGAAGTGAGATGTATTCGATAAGTTTGATTTTGAATAAAGAGCTAGAGTCATACTGACTGGAACAATGATGATAGTGTTCGAGGCCCGGCCGCTCGCCTCCCGAGGTTTCCCCGCGTGCTCCATTTTGGCCGATCGGCCGATCGGGTGAACCTAGTCTAAGTGTGAATAAAGTAAGGTATTTCAGAGGGATCCTACAAATTGGAAACATATCAATTTTTTGAGCCTGTCGTACCATCTATCTAGGTCTAATTTACATCCGGTCTATACAATGGGTGTTGTTGATGTCAATTCGCTCAATGATCTTGCCGGGTCCGATCCTGTGTCTGACCTCGACAGGGGAGTCGTAGCATGGGACGACCAGTACGACACCAAGAATCCGAGGTGAGAACCACATCAACGACTTGCAAAAGCATTCAAGAATCTGTGTTCATTGATGTTAACATAAGGTAGAAATTTCCCGGCATCAAAAAAATCGACCATTCTAGCCTTACTCAGTTTCATGATAGTACTAAGGTTCGGGAGTCCACTTAGTTGAAGGAACACCTAAACAAATAGCTGACACCGTGGTTTTGATAGTTTCTTAACATCCTCAATCATCGCACCAGCTGCTTCGAGCATTGACTCTGAGTTTCACAATGATTCATTCACAGTATCTTCCATGGTCACAACTATATACGTCTTTGGCTACCTCGTGAGTCAAAGCGCCTCCATTTATTCCGCAGCCCACCCATAATTGTTTGCACGCATGCTCATCAGCCCCTCAAGGTTGGACCTCTTCTTCTTTCACCACTGAGCGAATTCTGGGGTCGACGTCCTGTATTCTACTACGCCAACATCTTCTACACCCTCACCCACGTCGGCAGCGCTCTGTCACCCAACATTGGATGTCTCCTCGCGTTCCGCACCATCTCAGGCTTCGGAGCATCAGCCTGCTTCTCCATCGCGGGAGGGATGCTAGCAGACCTCTACGACGTCCATGAGCGCGGTGTTCCAAACGCAATCATCACGACCGGGTCTCTATTCGGGCCCGTACTCGGGCCCTTGTTCGGAGGCATTATTACCCAACGCGCAGGCTGGCGCTGGATCTTTTGGATACTCCTTATTGCCTCAGCCCTCGTGACGGTCCTCATGAACTTGTTTACGCCAGAGACGAATGCACATGTCATTCTGCGTCAGAAGACGTTGAGGATCAGAAAGGAGACGGGGAGGACGGACTTGCTGAGCCTTCATGACAATCAGGTTGGGACTTCGTCCAAGAAGAATCCTCAGACATTGGGAAAAGCACTCCGCCGCCCCTGGAAGATGTTGTTCCGCTCTCCCCTCGTGCCGGTATTTTGCATCATGACGGGCTTCATCTCAGCTCTTCTGTACATCCTCCTCACGTCCACATCCTCATTCTTTCAAGAAGTCTATGGCTGGTCCCTTGAGACAGCCGGACTGGCCTACCTAGGCCTCGGTTTCGGGAGTTTAGTCGGTCTCCTTCTCTTCGCCAAAACATCAGACCTCATTGCCGTACGACTCGCAAAGAAGAATGGTGGTCTGTACCAGCCGGAAATGAGACTGGTAACCGCCTTTATTCCAGCCCTGTTCATCCCCGTCACGTTTTTCTGGTATGGCTGGTCGACGTACGCGAGGACGCATTGGATCATTCCTTTGATCAGTTTGGCGCCGTTTGGCTTTGCCCAAGTCGGGATCAACGCATCTTCTTCGGCTTACTTGATTGACGCCTCTGGGCCTTATGCGTCCTCTTCATATGCTTGCGTTACGTCGGCTCGCTGTCTTATCGGTGGATTTCTTCCTCTGGTTGGGCCTACTCTGTATCAAAACCTTGGCTTAGGATGGGGCAATTCGGTGCTTGGTTTTGTGAGTTTGGCTATGGCTCCAATCCCGCTCCTGCTGTATCGGTATGGGCAGAAGCTCAGAGAGAGAAGCCCCTTGGATACCGTTACATAGTGAAAGTGGCCTTCCGCTGCACAAGGTTTTTGTTCTTTTTCTTTTGAGTCAGATCTTGAATAATACCGAATGAAACTTCTGCCACGAAGCTAGATTTGAGCTGCAACGTCAGATACGGAAGCTTCATTTCTGTTCTAAGGCGTGGTTCTATGAATAGATAGTCTCTTAGTTCCGAATTTCCATGTCTACTTCGCCAGCTCAGCTTCAATCGCGGCAAACATAAAAGACCCGCTGCCACGGTGGTCATTCTCGACAATGGGGATGCTGGTGTAGTACTAGAAACTCCCATTAGCAAAGCAACTCTCTCAAGGCATCTCGGGGAGTGACAACTCACCTCGAAACTCGCGTTCGAGTTCAAACTGCCAACTTGCACGGTCCCCGTGAAGCTAATAAGTCCATTCCTGTCATCCCGAATAAAGTCCCTCGTCAACGCGCTGTACGCCTTGAGTCCGACGTCCTTATACTTGGCCTCGAGGAACCCATCCCGAACACCGCGCAGCAGACCGTAGGCAAACATAGCCGCAGCGCTCGACTCGAGGTAGTTCCCCTTGCGCGTCTGGTATCCCTCATTCATGATGAGCCACCACCCTCCCGACGCATCCTGGCTTCTCGCCAGACCGTCCGCCAGTGTGACAAAATACTTCAGCAGCCTCGCATAACCCGGCAGGTTCTTAGGATACACCTGCAGAGTATCAACAAGCGCCATGAAGTACCACCCGACGGCACGATTCCACACCAACGGGCTCGCCCCCGTCACAGGGTCCGCCCAGACGGCGTCCTTTGCCTCGTCGTACCCGTGCACGAGCAAGTTGGTTGTGTGGTTCCGGGTATGCTCCTCAATGAGATCAAACTGAAGCGCAATCTCCCCCCATGCCGTGGTATTCCCCTTCTCAAACAGCGAGACATATGTCGCGTAAAAAGAGTCGGCCATGTAAATCCCATCCAGCCACATCTGGTCCTCATAAATCGGCGCGCGGTGCCAGAACCCACCGCTGGGCGTCCGCGGCCACCGGTTCAGCTGCTGCCGCAGCCCGTCCGCCGCGATCTTGTACTTGGCCCCTGCGGTGGTGTTGCGTTGGTAGAACCAGAGCAGGTTGTTGCCGATGCGAATGTCGTCGAGGGAGTACCACTCCGGGTCCCAGCCGTCCAGGACGCCCGCATCCGAGACGAGGGAGGATACGGCGGTCTCGGCGGCACGGAGGAGGGTTGCGTTGGAGGCGGCGGCGGCGACGCGGGCGATGCCTTCGTAGAGGACGGCTGGGCCGTAGCCTGCGTCGATAGGGGCTTTGCGGGCGACGAAAGAGGAGGCGAGCCAGGTTGAGTACGGCCGGGATGGGGCCTGAGCTAGGGCGAGGGTGCCCGCGAGAACGAGGAGGGAAGCTGAGGTGCGCATCGTTGGTGCCGGAGGATGGGAAGGATGAAGAGAGTAGGAACGAAGCCCGGAATTCTAAGGGTGAGTCTCCAATGTACGGGATGAACACTGGGTGGGGGACTCGGATGTGTTAGTTGACAGCTACGGGTTTGCCTGTCTATATACCTCTTCGCAACACCGTACCATCGACCATCCTCGACCCCAGCCCGTAACTTACAACCGCGCCATGGACAAATTCTGGAGAACTTCATGACGACTCTAATCCTTCCCCAATTTCCGGTGCGCCGATAGCTATCCGCAGCGCATGGCACATGCAAGCAACTGCGCCTCGAAAACCCTCAATTGAGCTCTCTAGTTGGACAAGAAAGACCCTGCGAAAACTCAGGAACACCTTTCAATGGAGGAAATTCAGGAAACCTGTCGGTAGAATTGGCGGGGAGGGAAACGAGGAGGGGAGCTCGATGATGCACTGCATCATGCATCGCCAAGGCGGAAAAATATAACGACGTTGCAACGGGCTGCTTTGAGCAATGATGGTCCCCCCATTGAAGCTCCCCCAGTTTGCCCGGTCGGGAAGCGTGGGGAGACAAGGCCTAGCACCGTCAGGTTTCTAGTTGATCGCGTCTTGCCCCGGTCAATAACAATCTTCGGGGCATCTGTCCTCGAAATGCCAGCATCGGCTCGCTCGCCAAGCCTCCAAATGTCACCAACGGTCAGGGCCGTTTGATTAAGGGGAGGGACCGGCATCATGTGATAAGATCCGAATCCGATCACGGGCCCGGGGATGTCGTCTAGCAACGGAGCTAACGGCTGCAGACCAAACAATCCCCCGTGCCGCGAAAAGAAAGAGACAAGGAAGCAAAGGGGAGACGTGGCGGGGGAAGCGAACACCGTGATTCCTCTCGGCGGGAACGGCCCCCGCGGCCAGCGGCATCAAGGTGGGCCCCATCCAACACCCACTCCGTACACATGAACGATTCGGGGCGGTAGTGGGGTCCCCCGTCCCGATCCGCCCCGCCCATCGCCGCACACTCGGATCTTCGGCACCGCCATGTGCTCATCTCAAGGGGGGGGCCGCCCAACTTTCCCGCCCAGAAAACGCCAAAGCTAGGCTGGCACGGTTGGGGAGGAACGGAACGCCCAATCGAATGTCGTTTTCCGCTGTCATAATTGCCTTGTCGCTTCCTTACCTCTGGGACACACTGACGTAAAGACTGCAAAATGCTGACCTTGCATGCCCCCCAGAATCTTATTTCAACACCCAGACCTCTCTCTACTCCCCCCAGAGTCGATCCAAATCCACCGACCGCTTCACAGTCCGAGCTTTTCTGGAATTTAGGCTTTCTCGGTTACTAACTATTACTACATGCTTATTCCTACAACCAACTTGCTCTCTCTTACCTCGCTCTCCAAAGGCAGGGAGTTGCCTCCCTCACCAGCTTCGTTGAAGCATGTTCGACGAGAGAACATCATCTGAAGTCCAAACGGGAAGACAAGACACAACACAACCATCCACACGGATAAGTGAAACTTCGAACCTAGCCACATGTTTAAATACAACCGGCATGACATCAAAATGTAAAAAATTAAGGTTCTTACCGCCCCCGGAAGCCAGAAGCGTCTTAAAACGTTCGCTCGGTCGTGGTATCCGTGCGAACCAGCCTGTCAAAGCGACAGACACATTGAAAAATTCCCAAGAGCCCGAGCAAACGCAGACAAACGTCTAAAATGCATTCTATTGCCGGCTTAGCAAGGCGGCAAAGACCTCGGCAATCTGAAGCACATTAACCCCGCCACATAGACAAGGCCGACAGGATATCTTCACATGGAGATAACCGAATCATAATGATCAAATGTAGACAGCTGGTATCATATTCCTTCGAACAATGCCATTATGAGCTTATGCTTGCCCTCAAGTTCAAATCTCAAACCATAGCTTAATCTCATCCAAGCTGAAGAAATCCACGTCGTCTCAACAAGGACGGTTCGCATTGTTGTGTGTTAACAGAAAATAAGAAAAGAACCCACGGAACTCCGCCACCTTGAACCCAAAATGCTCGCCACATCATGCGAGACTTGCACCTATTCGCATACAATGCCTCCGGCGACCACCGAAAATCTCTTTTCCCTTCTCTCAATGCAAAATATAACGCATGAGGAATGTAATCCAAAGCCATGGGCCATTGCCATAGAATTCTTGGTCCATCCCTCCTCCCGACAAAAGTATAAATGCGCCGTTTGCAACCAGAGAAAGAGAGAGCATTAAATTTCTTATCGTTTCGTAGGGGCGCTTTTTACATCTCATCAAGAACCGTGCTGGGCTTCCACTCGTTGGTATCAACAGTCGCTTCGGGATCGGTCCAGTTGACGGGCTTGTGGATGCGCAGCATGCGGAGGAAGTAATCCTCGACAACGAGCAGGTTCAGCAGGACGCCGTTGCAGTTCCAGGCCAGACCGCAAACGATGGCACCCGCGACGGCGTCGAGGACAAAGTGGTTTGCTGTCGCGACGATGGCGGTCAAGATCAGGGCCGGGTAGGCCATGCCGACGGCGACGATGGCGAAGCGCTTCCAGGGGCGCGAGCGGATCGAGGGGAGGGGCAGGGTCGCGACGGTAAGGCCGATGAGGAGGGAGTAGCCGAAGTGCAAGGAGGGCATCGCAGCTGTTGTTATCGCTTGTTAGTGTCCGTAGCATTGTAGGGGGTGCGGAATGTGATTTGAAGGGCATAAAAACTCACCATACTGGTTGCAAAACTTGTTCGTCGTCCAAACACTGCTCTCGCCGGTAGCGCTGTGCACGGTATCCACGAAGCCAAAGCTCTTGGACTCGCCGGCATCGGGGCCGTTGTAGTTGGGATCGCTCAAGAGACGAGGAGGCATGCAGGGCCAGAGAGTGAAGACGACAAAGGCGAGCAGGTTGCAGGTGGCCATGGTGCGACGGCGGGCTTCGTACAGGGCGGGACCGGCAGAGTTCCAGCGAATGTTCTCGGTGCCGCCGAGCTTCGCGGAGACAGCGCGGCGCTTGCGGGTGGTGGTGATGAAGTAGAGGATCACGAGGAAGAGGATGGTGCCCGGGATGTGGATGAAGGAGTAGATGCGATTGATCCAGTGCATCACGGTGGGCAGCTGTAGAAAGTACTGCTGGACCGGCACCTCGATGAAGACGTGGAGGCGCTGCTCCAGGTGGATGAGCTGGAGCGCATGCTTGCGCGCCACGTCGACGGTTCCCTCGTTGAGGGTGAGCGCGGTGAAGGCGCGGCCGACTTGGTATACCTACATTTCGACCGTGTTAGAGGGAGGAACAGAGAACCTGGTAAGAATTGCCGGAGAGACAGCTATAGAAGTTTGTCACTTACCCAGTAAATCAGAGCCCAGTACCATGCCTCGACCAAGAAGGGGAACTTGCGGAGGACTCGGCTGAGGAGTCTGTCCTTATATACTCTGGTGTTTGGTGACGAGACGATGCGTTGGTATCCAAAGAACTTGATCCTGCGAGAGCGTCGCGGCGGTTCTTCTTGCGGTGTCAACGTTGATGATGAGCTCCAGGCGCCGAGGGAGAGGAGAGACTCTTCAGAGTCCGGGGTCGAGTTGCCGGAACGGCGCTCGTCAGATCGCTTGTGCTCGGCATC